GGGCGCCGCCGCAGTGCCGAGCCCGCGACCCGGTGCCGACAACCGGCAGCGCGCCAGCGAGAACAGAGGCTGAGCTTGGGAGCGGGAGCCGGAACCCACTCTTGTACCAAACAGGGACCTGAACCCCTCTGTGCAGGTGATAATGCTCCAGCAACCACTGAGATGGGGTCCCCTGCTCAGGCCTTCACGCTTCAAATGGGGTGACAGGGTCCAGGCCTCCTGGTAGAGTGTGTGGGGGGGTGTCTGTCGTCCTGGGTCATCAACAAGCAGGCCCTGGCCACCTCCCACCCTTTCAAAGACAAGAGGGACACAGTCTTGGGAGAAATGGCCTAAAACACAGGCAGATCCGTCAGTTCTGCCCACGTGGTGGTTCCCCCCCCCAGGAAGGAGTAAATGAAGTGCACCTGGGAGGAGCGGCCCTCCCACCCCCGGCGCGTGAGGCCGCAGCCGAAGGCAGGACGGGGCCGATTCCGGTGTCTGTGGGCAGGAGCTCAGTCTGCTGCTGCCGTCATAACGGAGGCTCGTCTGTCCTGGACGCGTCCCACCCGGGTGTGTGTCCAGCCCACCTGTCCAGCCCGACTTGCAGGGAGCTGTGACCGCCCCGTTTCTCCTAATTCAGCAGCAGGGGGTCTGGGATCCCAGTCAGTGTCCCGCCCAGGTCCCTGAGGCCGTCCCTGCTCAGTCTTCCATCACAGCCTCACCCCGAGATCTCAAAAGCCAGCAGGCAGCGCCTCCCTTCCCAAGAGAGGACACACATCCCAGGAGCCAAAGGCAAGTTCTTTGCTGCCTGGTTCAGAGCTTCCTTTGCTGGGCGAGGCTGCAGGACACCCAGCCCTGGAGGGTGGCTCCTGGCGGCCCCGCTCTGGCCACTTCGACACACTCAGAGTCCCATGTCCTCCCCTGTGGTCCGTGGTCCCGGCCCCACCCCCAGACCTGGCCCAACATGGGCAGAGGGAGGGGTGCAAGGATGGCAGTGCCCAGCGAGGGCCACTGGGTGCAGGGGGGCATCATGCCCGTGAGCCCTGTAGCCGCGCTGGCAGTGACAGCGACTCCTCGGCCTGGCCCTGCCCGCAGCAGTCACTCGTCGGTCACCTCCACAGAGTCTTCGTTCCTGTCCTCCAGCTGCTCCTCTGTCTCCGTTTCCGTGGTGTCCGAGATGGACGACACCTGCCACACCCAGTCCCTGTCGTTGAGCAGCTGTGGCTGACATGGTCCAGAGAAGGGGTTGAACCAGTTCGGGGAGAAGCTCCCGCCGAAGGCCTCTTTGACATTCTTCCAGCTGGCCTGGTTCTCCCGGGGCTGGTGCTTCCGTTTGAGGCGCTCGATGCCCTGGAGGGACAACGGGACAGAGGGTCAGCAGGGGACGGGCTGTGCCCCTCGGGTGCACCCCCAGCCCTGGCACAGCAGAGCGCTGAGGCCCCTCAGAGGGCTGGGGGGTGCAGGGGTGCGGGGCGGAGGGTCAAGGCAGGCAGGGCCTTCACGGGACCAGGGCTGTGCTCCCCCCCCCAGGTTCGAGGGTTGCCCAGCCCCACGCCTGAGTCAGGCCAGCTGCGCGCGGGGCCAGGCCTCGGGTGGCCGGGGAGGAGCGCGCAGGCCTCTCCGCACGTGGGCTGAGTCCGCTATAAAGGTGGCTCCTCCCTGCGCGTTTGGGGCCACTTCCCCCACGGGAGGCGGTCGGGGCAGCACGCGCATGAAGATGGTGGGGCGAGGGGGCCGAGCGTAGGGTGCAAACAGCACGTGAGCTGAGGAAGCAGATGGGTGGGCAGCGAGCGACATGCAGCGGGCAGCCGGGGGCGCACGGGGCCACCGTGGGGGGAGGCGCTGGTGTCCGGCCTGCTCATGCCGTGGACACCCCCTGCGGCCTCTCGCAAGCTGCCCACTCACCTACCTCTGGGTGTCGGCTGCCACTCGGCCACCAGGCCACAGAAGGGAGGTGTTGGGCAAAGGGAGAAGCGCCGAAGGGCTAAAGGCGCAGCCGGGCCGGCTCCGCAGGCCCGCAACACCCCACAGAGGCTGTCGGTGCCCAGAGCGGCCTCTGCCCTCTCCATCTCCTCCGGAAGCCGGGGGTTCGCTGCGGGTTTGTCGGGTGTGGGTACTGCTCATTCCCACCCAGGACCCTACAGAGCCGGTCTCACCCTTTCTGTTGTGCAGACAGAGAAGCGGAGGTGTGCACACACAGACCCGACCACACCCTGGGCCACTTCTCCAGCACTTTCTTCCCCACACCATCTCAGAGACTTAAGTTTCTTGGGCTCTGAAAACATTGTGGGTTGCTCTGGCTGGTGTGGCTCAATGATTAGTGTCAGCCCCCACACCGAAGGGTCGTGGGTTCGATTCCCAGTCAAGGGCATATACCTGGGTTGCAGATTTGACCCCCACCTGGGTCGGGGCGCATGCAGGAGGCAACCAATTGATGCCTCTTAGATCAACCTTCCTCCCTCCCTCCCTCCTACTCTCTCTCAAAACCAATGGGAAAATATCCTCGGGTGAGGGTTAAAAAATAAATTGTGGGTTGAATGTGACCTCAGTGTCTCCTCATAAGATGCTTATTAACTGCGAGGGGCAAAACAGTAGCTTGACAATAGGGAAACCGCAGATACCACCTTAACCAAGTCAGTTAAATCACGGAGACATAGCGCCCTCCCGCGCCTGTGCACTGGGCGCCCCGGCGCACAGCCTCGCCCTGATCGCGAGAAAGCAGACGCGTGGGGAGGGTGCTCTACAGGGCATGAGGCTCCTGAGCTCCAGAAGGCCCGAAGTCTAGTGAAAATGCTTTGGAACCAGATAGAAGTGGTGGTTGTACATCACGAAAGTACTGGGTGGCAGGGCCGCACTTTAAAGTGGTTAGACTTACGTTGCGTGAATTTCACCTCAAAACAAAAGCCATCAAGCTCAGGAAAGACTGGGGACTCCCGCGGACTGGCAGACGAGAGGTGTGACAGGATGCCACGGGGCATCCTGGCACAGAAAGAATATTAGTGGGACAACTGGCGAAATCTGAGTAGACAGGTTGAAAGGCCATGACAGTGGCCAAGCTTGTCCTGCTGGTCACGCCTCAGAACTGGTGTCTTCTCTCCGCCCAAGTCCTCTTCATCCCCCTGCAAGCACTCGCCCTGCCCATGCTGATCTCAAAGGCAGAGGGGAGCCGGGGAGGGGGCCACAGGAGAGCCCCGGGATGACTGGTTTCCGTTCCTGGGCATGTTCCTGGACGAGGGCTTGCGGGTTACACTCGGCCTCCACGGGCCTGGAGAAAGTTCCAGGCAGAGCCCGGCCCGGCCACCAGGTGAAGCTCCTGGGCAGTTCAAGTGGACAAACCTGTGAGGAGTGGGACGTCACCTGAGCCTGGAGAGAAGAAATTTCAAGTCTGATGCACAAAAGGCCCGAGGGCCGGACTCTCGGGTTCAGGAGGAGCCCAGGGGGCTCCTTTTTCCTGGAAGGACTCGACTGGGAGTTCTGTGTGGATCTGGAGGTGTCCTGAAGGGCAGGCCCTAAGCTGGAGGGGTGTGGGCGGAGGCAGCAGGCTGGCTCAGTGAGGCGGACCCGTCGCTTCCTGGCAGCCGGCACCGGCCCAACCAGCACCTCTTGCAGGCAGCGTGTGACCTGGGCCTTGTGGGCCTGGATGGCCTAAGTGACACGCGAGCTGCGATCTGTAAACAAACCTACGAATAACCCACAATGAACGTACCAGGACCTAGACTCCGAGGGAGACGGCGACTCCAGCTCACGCTGTTAGGACTCAGCTGAGGCCCGTAGAGAAGAGCAGCACGCGCCCCTGCTCCCCAGGTCCCAGGTGTGGAAAGTCAGAGACGCTGCAGCCCGAAAACGTGCCCCTCGCGGAGCCGGAGAACTCCCTTCACCGGGGCGTCACACCTTTTTACTGCAGCTCACAACAGCAAATACTTGTCTTGCAACCCAGCAGGTACCCCCCAAAGTTTCACGGACCGATGCTGGTCCTATACAGTGTAATGCATTAGCTCTTATTTGCTATAAAAATGCTGTTGCAAACCTGATCTCAAGAATCATGAACAGCTGTGACCCAGGTTTGACAGGCACAGCTCTAACCACTATGAGGCCGTCGACGCGTCAGACGCTGTGCTATAACACTCACTCCCCTCAGCCCTCACATCAGCCGGGGGTTGGGGGCACCATCCTGATTTTACAAAAGAGAGAAGTGGGTGGGAGTCAGTCACTGCCCACGGTCACAGGATGTAAGTGGTGAGCAGGGACCAGAACCACAGGCTGAGCCCAGGGTCCCCCACCAGACTCCAGGACCCCAGCCACAGGAACGCAGGCTCCCTGTCTGTCCTTGACAGCATGTGCCTGCCCGGGTCTTTCATGGTTCCTTGGGTCAGTTCCACCGGCTCCTGTGCATGCAGATGAAGAGGGGTCCCCAGGTGTGGAAGTCCCCAGGTGGGAACCAAGGGCCAGGACGAGTGCCAGTGTCTGCCCAGGCTCTGATCATTCACCACTGGGAGCCCCCATTTCTACTTGGAGGACCCCGGCTCTATTTTTCCCCCCTCACCCTTCTAGACGGTTCTCCACCCAGAGCCCCTCGGTCCAGAAACCAGCCAGACAAGGCGTGCAGGGCTGCGGGCCACACTGATGATGTGGCTCCCTCCCCGCTCTCACTGTTTCTCAGCTTCCATTTACCTGGGAAGCCGGCCGCAGGAAGAGGGGCTCAGCATCACCCTGAGCTCAGCAGCACACAGGACCACCTGCAGGGCAACCCCCCAGTGGATTCTCAGACTTGTGCATGGGTCAGAATCACGGCAGGGCTGTTGAAAGGCAGGTTGCGGGGCCCCACCCTGAGTGGGGCCTGAGAAGGCGCATTTCTAACAAGTTCCCAGTGATGTCGAGGCTGCTGGTCTGGGGGCCACACCGTCAGAGGCACTGGCTTTGTGCATCATGGGGGAAGGATTCCTGGTTGGAATTCTAACAAAAGCCTCTCTTCACGTTTCCTTGGCATTTAAAGGCCCCTTCTAGGTTGGGGGCCCTCACCTCTACTGGCTGGCTCGCCCTGTAGGCTGACGCACTGCAAGTCTTGAAAAGAGAGCAACTTAAAAGCCATTCGCGCCACCAGTCCTCCAAGGCCTGGGTTTCGGTGTGCCGCACCTCACATAGGTGATAAATGCTTAATCGACCTCATCTGGAAGATTCTGCACCAGGAAGGCAGATCCTAACTAAGCAGCCTAGCCAGGAGCTAAAAGCTGGCCCCTCAAGGTGTCTCACTTTGGGTTCTTCCAAGAAAAAGTACAACCGAGATGCACTGCTTACGACTGGCAGGGGACTTGGCCCGGGCACAGCTACCCCGACTCGCTGTGCGTGCACCAGTCACCATGCAAATCTGCAGACCTGCTTGGACCTGGCCTTTTGCATTCACCCGGTTGCCATGAACACGGAGTCGCCTAGTTTAACTCGCCGTTGCCTCCGGTCCTTCACTCCTCTCCAAGGACAGTGCTTGGGAAGACTGTGGCTGCGACGGGCCCGCTTCCCACGCGTGAGCCATTCAGCACTGTCCCACCTGTGTGGAAATGGCCTCTCAGGAGCCCAGTCTGGGAACACAGCGTGGGGAGGCCCATTTCCTCTGTGTGGACAGCACGCAGGAGGCCACTCACTGTACTGCGGACGACAGCCACCCGCTGTAGTCACGGTGCTCTCAGCAAAGTGTCTTCTGTCTCAATGAACATGAAGCAGGAAAAATGCAGGGACTCCTGGGGCGAGTCCAAGTTAACTGACCCAGGTCGCAGAGCTCTTTAAACATCGAAGGGCTGACAGGAGCTCCTCAAAGCAACACACAGGAGTGTTTGTGGAGGTTTTCAGCGATTTCCTCTGGCTTTCGGCTGGGTGGGCAAGGACAGGGTCTCTTCCCCCAGGCCCAACCTGAGAAGCAAAGTCCGAAGATTGACAGCTTTTTCCGTAGCAACTGAGAGCCCATGAGCACACAAGGGCTTTGGCCATAGAAAGCCAGAGGAGAGGCTGGTGGGGCAAGTTTGCTCAAGAGGGCTCCTAATGTCCTTTAAAGACACAATAAAAACTTCAAGAGAGGGAGCATACAAGTGATGTCCTTTAAAGGCAATGAAAACAAACGCTGCCACAGAGCAAACGCACTGGCTTGCCCAGTCACTGGCTGCAGGTGACACGGAGACTGGCCGGACCGGTCACTGGTCCTGGCCGCAGGTGACACTAGAAGGGAGCAGAAGCAGAGCTCAATCACAACAGGTTTTGGAAAATGTTTATTGCATTTGGTTTCCAGGTGGAAGCACTGACAGAATTGAAAAGAGGCGCACGTTCCACTTCTCTGAAAAACCACATGGCTGGATTCACAGTCTCCCCATCCACAACTGCATTTAATAAACCTTACCCCCCACCCCCACCCAAGCAAGAGCTAAAAAGATTTGTGGCCACTGCCTAAAAAAACAAATCCATGTGAGAACTGATGATCAGTATTCAGGTAAGTTCCCCATTTGACTGGCTGTCTCCCCAGCCCGTCTCTAGGCCTTCCTCTCGCAAGCAGACAGGAAGTGCCTCCGAGGGGAAGCCGTCCAGTCGCAGCACCCGAGGCTCAGGTGGACCTGCTGATGCCAAAGGCTGGCATGGCCACCTAGCAACTCAGAAAAGTCAGGGGGCTGGGATGTCGCCCTTGCATCCTGGTGAGCCCAGGCCAGGGCGGCAGCCTCCAGATCAATACAGACAATACATGGGTACGTGCACATTTATGGGTCTAAATATCAGAAAGCGAACCCGCTTTGGCGACTTACAACACGAGGAAAGGGCTGATGGTAGGGCTGCTAGGAGGCAGGGAGGGGGTGAGAGCAAGCAGGCTGACGGAGGTGGGGCTCGCCTGAAACTGGCACTTTTTCCTGTTCTGATTGTGTGTAAGGCATTTTGAACCTGAAAGACTTCTTTCCTTCACACTCTTCCAAATAATCAGAGGGAATATAACTGGTGATTCAGAATACAAATGAGACCCCAGACCCCTTTCATCCCCCC